TCAACTATAAAATCTCACGGATTACATATAAGGCACTTCATGACCTTGCCCGCAGTTACATTTCAGATCTCCTTGTTCCTCATTCCACTCTTCGGCCACTTCACTCCTCAAATCTAGGCCTTTTATCCATTCCCCACTCTAACTGCAAAACTAAAGGTGACCGTGCCTTTGCTGTTTTAGCCCCAACATTGTGGACTAGTCTTCCCCAATCACTCAGATTTGTGGACTGTTTTAAGCGGCTCCTCAAAACCCACCTCTATAGACAAGCCCCTTTTATAGATCTTCTTGTTTGTTTACATATCTCTCGTCTCTCTTTTAATTTATTCTTTCCCTCTTGTTTTATCTTCCATATGTTTGTATTTATAGGCTCCCTATGTATGTATATGATTGGGTATGGTTATGTATGTACACATTTATATGTATATGCATATATATACCCATATGTGTGTATGTACGTGTGTTTATTGTTATTTGTTTGTTTGTAAAGTACTTTGTAACTGTGTGTTGTTAAAAAGGTGCTATATAAATAAAACTATAATGGAGCATTTTCTTGCTAAACAGCCTGAAATTCACCTAAAACTGTAAAACTGTATTTATTGTACAATATGTATTATCATACAGTACATATAAATCTCTACATACATGCAAAACATAATAAAAATCAAGCAGGACAAAACAAATTGAGAACAGTAATGCCAATATGGTGTTTATAGCGTGTTACAATGCCCCCCAAATGACCAGATAATCACATCATGCAGGTTTAAAGTCCCAAAGTAATCATCATTTGAATCCTTTTGATCAAACAACTTGCATTCTTTTGAACTGTAGCAAAATGTGCTTTCTGTGGGAAAACACAAATGTCACAGGGTGCATTTCTATCTCCAGGACCCCTGGTGAGAAAAGGAAAACAAGAGCAACTGTTGCTCCACAGTGTCAACTCATACGCCATGCCAGCTCATTACTTCTGTATTACTGCAACACAGTCCTGCCTCATCAACATCACACAGGGGTTAAAATCTACAGAAGGGACAGGACACACTAAAGCGGCAGGGATTTTTTCAACCCTTTTTGACCAATTCAGATGTTAAATTAACAAAAACAACAAGTTCCAATCAATAAATAACTTTTTATCAAATAGAAAATAAAAGGCCACATCTCTCTTCATTGCACTTTTATCTGATCCATTTTAGTTATACACAGTTAAGTTCTTTGAATCTGAAATCATTCCATTTAAACTCAGGTTTCTTCTGCAAAGTGGCCACTTTATCCAGTATAGAAAGGTCCTAAAAATGTTTTCAATTTCACTGAGACATGCTTGGACTCAACAGGGTCAGGATGCCGTCAGTGTACTATACAGACAATTCAGAGGCTCATTCAGAAAACCAAAGACATTCACAGTAACTGTGACTTCAGTTGGTGTGAAGCTTTGAAAAGAGATATTTCATTTAACACGATCACTAATTTAATGCAGGTTTGCAAAATCAGAACAAACATTGATTAGAGAGAAAAAAGAGGTAAGACACTTGACTGGTTGACTTTGTAAACAAAAAGGGCAAACAGACAAGGTCAAATGCTTCATGCAACAATGCTCACATATTAAGCCTATAAAACTGTATTAATATTACAACATGCTGGGATAATAAATATTTAGGAATATATAAATAATAACTAGCAAGCGTATTCACAAGAGGCCATTTTTTATTACTTCAGATAGCAGTCAGCAGGTACGAATATAGCAAAAAGATTCTGCAAAATCTAATCATGAGTTAAAGGAATATTAAAGAAAATGGCATCTGATGTCCATATGTTTTTGATTATGGTTTTGCCTTTATTGCACCAGAGAGATTTATATTTTTGCGAAGCTTATTATGTTGATTTATTGTAAGTTTCTGTGTTGCATGTTTCATTTACTGCCTGATAACACAGCACAATGTCATCTTCTTAGTATCTATTTCTATTAATGTCAATATTCTGCACTTTGTTGCTTCGTGTGCTGTATATTGTGCGTTTCTGTGTTGCATGTTTTAATTAGGACAACAGGGGCATTTCCAGACTAGGGTGGCACAAAGGGGGGCACTGAATGTGTATGTGTCTCAGCATTCCAGTCATTCCCAATTTATGTAATTCCAACATTGTTAATAGACCCCCGTATGCAGAAATATTCAAATACACTAGGGGAAAATAACACACTGTATATACCACATGCAAGAAAGTGCATGGGATTAGCATAAAGTGCACATGTCTGCAAAGGGGAGACTTGTACGTACTTATAGAACCGATTTTCATTCATATACCATGAGGTCAGAAGGATCCCTTTGAAAATGGCCATGCCAGCTTTCCATCGCCTAAATTTAGCTTAACTTCGGATCCTTATTTGGCCCCCTTCCCAACATGCGACCAATGGTTCCATTCAGTAATCTAATTTCATACGATACCAGTATCTTCACTCTTGAAAGACAGAAAGACAGTGTGGCGTGGATAGGGTTGGGTACCGAAACGCGGTACCAATAGGGCACCGGTTCCGACGTAAACGGTAGTAACCAGACCGAATAAGACTCTGCAACATGCAACAGATGCCATAAAACAATTGCATGCAAGGGAGGTAACACGTCGAATTTGATGAAACATCTGGCGACACATGGAGTTTATTTAAAGCCGAACAATGCACCGTGTTTGATAACCTACGTGACGCAAGGCCAAGCACTTCAGCAGCCGCAGCCAGTGTCAGCCTTGCCGGACAAATTGAAGAGACTCCCAGCCCTGCCAGTGTGGTGGTGGACATCACAGATGATGATGATGACATCAGCCTTTCCTCTTCGGGTAAATCTAGTAATTTAATGCCAACCGCAAATCATGCATGTCAAGTAGGCTAGCAAACACCGTTGCTATTCAACAGTGTAAGTGACAACGTGTGCTATGTCGTTAACTAGGGTACTGTTTTTTGACAAAGTGTGCGTGGTTTCGTTTTTTTAAGTACTGGTACGAGAACCGTTTAAGCACCGGAACCGTTAAAAAATACCGAGTAGGCACTGGTATCGGATAAAACCCAACCGATACCCAACCCAAGGCGTGGAAGAGGTAAGGACAATGGGCTGGCACTTGGTGTGGCCAATCAGATTTCAGGGTTGGCCACTTTGTCCTCTTCTGTCCTCTCTAGTTCTGCCCAGCTGCTACATCTGATTGCTCAATGAGGCGCGCCTGGCCTGGGAATTAAGTGCCTAAAAGCTCTTGCCAGCATGAGAGGAGAGCGGCTTTGGGTGTGGGACATGCTGGTTGTGCTTCCTACCAGCCTGTAATAAAGTTATATGAAAAAGGTAGGATTTCAAAATATTATTAATTATTTGTAAATTAAGCCTGCTACTCTGTGAGCTATTTTCTCCTGATGGTTAATAAAGCTGCAGCAAAGAGGTCACAGTTCACCGCAAAAAAAACGGGCATGTTGCCTTAATGGCTCAGATCTGATTCAGATTTTGTTGGGGTTCCCAAAAGGCAAGCGACATGAGTGAGCAAAACAATGCAAACAGCACAGAAACATGTGCTCGATGTTCATACTGATTACAGTTCAGAACCCTTGCCACTGCTGCCAAGCTAAATGCTCTGTGTCTTACTTCTTCAGAGGGTTCAAGAAAACTCTGGTTCCACCAGAACTCCTCCTGTGCTCCCTCTCCTCCAGCTCCTGGATGACTCCATGCTCTCAAATCCATAAATCATTTTTCTCTCTCTAGTATGAACCTTTGACTATTGCAAAACTTTCTTCTGTGGAACCAAACCTATATATCAAACCATCCAAACTGAAAATTACAACTAAACTGATTAAATTAAATCTTAATTAAAGCCCTTTGAGCCCAAAAGCTAGTATCAACAAGATTTAGCGTATGGCGGCTTTTTCAAAGCATTAATAGCTGAAATCCATAAATGTTGTGCTTATGTGTCCAAACTTTATCTGCAGACTGCAGTTTGCACAGTCGTCTTTGTGATGAAATGTAAAATGTTCTTAATGATCTGAACAACTTCCACATTTTCTATTTTTTTTCAGTATAGTCCCTGTGGGTGTGAACGTTGTTTTGTTTCTGTGTTCTTCACTTTGAATTTATGTGCTCTGCGTCTATAATCCCTCTCTATTTGTCTAAAAATATGCAGAACTTCATTTTCATGCCAAGAACAGTTTCTTCCCATCTGCAGCTGGCCTCAACAACAAGGCCTGGGACCCCCGCTGACATCGACTCTCATCCTGCCCCGTGGACGCAACACACTACATTAATGTAAAGTCTCCACATCTGACTCAATGCCTTACATTAACATGATGGCGATAACTTTATACTAACAGCTGGACATTTAGGTGAAATACATTTATTAATTATCTTGATTGATGATTAGAAAATGTATACCACTGTCGTGTCCATTAAGAAGGAAGCTACAGCCAGGAGATGGTTAGCTTAGCTTAACAGAAAAAGTGGTAACATGGGGAAACAGCAACACTTAACTCACTAATTAAAAATATTGCTTGTTTAATTTTTACAAAAACCAAAGTGTAGAAACGACACAAGTTTAGGTTTTAGATATTATGTGCTAGACTATTTCTTGGCCGGACACAGTGACTTCCTTGAGTCTCGGCTGGTTGCCTGAATACTTCATTGGTGGCAAAAAGACTCAAAAACCCATCAAAGCCTTCAGACTTCATTTTCACACTTAGAGGCCTTTCGAAGGAGCAAGGCTGTTTCCCCCTATTTATAGTCTTTAAATTAAGCTAAAATAACTAGCTAGTAACCCTGTCTTTGTGGTAAGAGTGCAGTCTTCTCATTCAATTCTCAAATAGTGAGGGACTAAAAATAAAACAGTAGCCTATACGATTACAATCAACTCATTGTTGAATAGAAGAACAAGACATGTCTGCTTTCTCAGTTCTGCTCCTTTATTTGCAAAACAAAAGGTGGTTCCTCCATCGGGAAATACAAGAGGTACAATTCACATTGAGTGTCTTCTGCTCTGCTGTTACTTACCCAACTGCACCCTGAGGCCAGAAGAGCCTACAGGGCTGCAGTCCAGCAGGTAAGCCCATTGTACATCCCGCACAGGTCCACAGGTGGGTGGATGCGACACTTTCACACCTTGCGATGCTTGGATCAAGAGACTGCTCCTCCACAGGCACGGAAATAACGTGCGAAAACTAAAAAAAAGAAAGAAAAGAAAAGGCAGAGAGAGAGAGAGAGAGAGAGAGAGACCCAGAGAGAGTGTGGAAAGGTTTGAGACAGTGCCTGCGTTTGTGTGTGTGTGTGTGTGTGTGTGAGGGAGAGACAGAGAGGGAGGGAGGGAGGGAGGGGGGGAGACGGGGGGAAGACACGGTGCCTTTCAGCAGAGTCTTCAGAGAGCTCCGGGAGGGACACTGTGGAAAGCATGTCGCTGATTTTACGCGCCGAGCTTTCCACTTTTTACTTTCCACGCTGCTTCTTACTGCTGCTGATTCATCCGATGTCTTAGTTCACCTTTCCGGTCGTACGGGGACTTCTGCGGACTTACCGGTCGACTGACTCACGGAGGAAACCTTGGCTGGTCTGAGGCATTACAGCCGGGGCGACATGAGCGCAGGAAAACGCATGAGGATGGACGCACCTGTCATCATTCTGCTCATCCACCTGACCCATACTGAGATAAGAGGTAAATTAAAATGGAGGGAGGATGAGGTCATATGATTAAGACCCACCAGAAGACTATTATTTTAATATAGAGTGCTGTTTGTTTGTGCTGTCACTGGAGTCTTCCTCTTGTTTGTCTCATTTTATGAATAGGAGTATTTCATGTGGTTATGGCTGGTTTTCCCTATTTGTAGCACAAGATTTCCTTTTGAATCAAGTTGTTGGGGTTGTTTTTGTGAATGAGCATTCACAGCGGAAGAGACAGCAGAACATTAGTTACACTATAAACTGTGTTAATGAATCATCTCCACAGTAAGCTGCTGGCTCCTCATGTTTCTAAAAACCTCAAATGGACCTGTGGAAAGGGTACCTATTTTGTGAACACTAAATAGGGTCTGTAGTTATGTGGGTTGGACAGAAATTCTATTTATTTTGTCCGCTCTGCTGCGCAGATGGAGGTGGAAAGGCATGAAATAGGCTGTGAGATTGTTCAGTTCTGTATGACCACTGTCCTCACAAGGATAGAAGGAAAAATTACATGATTTAGGATGTTTTTTAAGAAGGAGGACACTGGTTTAGGTTTAAATGAAGTACTGATAAGATTAATAATTAAGTATTGAGTGGAGATTAATCAGAGAATTGTACCAGTCATTAGTAATAATTCAATACACATGAATATATAATAAAAGTGACATGACACTGACATTTCTTTGTTCTCTGGTAACTGGCAAATAATCTGTCAGATGTTAGTATTGAGTGCATTTGAGTTGGGGGTCGGAGATGATCACAAAATTCAATTTCCAATTCATGTCTTATTCATTCATGCCCACTCAAACTTCCTCCATCTCCCAGTCTGTGACTCATCTTCAGATCTCCTACTGTGGTTTGGATGAGGCTTTGTATGAACATTTCTCTGACACAAAGTGCTGAGAACGATAGGACAGATGTAACGGTGTTGTTTCGTTTCACACTGAGGTGAGATGATCACTCGGGATTGACTAAGACTAAGAAATATATAAAAAAAATTGTACCTAAAAAAAGTTAAAAGAAATGATGGAAATGATGGAAGATAATTTAAAAAAAGCAAAACCCAACACACAAAACAACATGCATCAGTCAGTACACAGCAGACAATAATGATAAGGGCTGCACCATATGGTAAACGAATCATACTGTATGTATTTGGACAGCTATTATGATTTGCAATGTAATTCAAGGTTGGCATCAAAATCTTAATTTTAACTGAAGAAAACTATTAAAATTACGATGATGTGACCTTTGTTGAGGTTTGTACCCATCTCTGCATCACTATAGTACATCATTATAATGCTGTTTGTCACACATTTGACCTTATTATTAAAAAAAAAGCATCTCCTGTGATTTGGATCTTGCACTTGGCCATTTGCGAATTTTGATTATATTTCAATTAATTGTGCAGCTCTAATAGAGATCCACACTATAGTAAACACTTGAGTGCCTCCCAACTGTATCTCATTACCTCACTCAGGAACTTTAAAGAATTATGTCCGTATTTGTCTGAATTAATTTGATAATCACAGTTAATAAAATCCTTTTCTATTACTAGACAGCAGGCACCTTTAATCCAATGTCAGGGATGTTGAGGGGGGTTTTGTAATGAATCTGAATCAGTCACAGAGCAATCAGAGTCACAAATGCTATGGCATTTGCTGAGACGTGGCGTGGGGAGGAACTGAAATGAGTAAGAGGCACAGTAGATATTGAGCTCAATATTTTCCACAGACATTTTAGGTAATGTATTCAGACAGCGTAATACTTGTCAAATAACAACAGATAACACAAAGGTGTGCAGACAATTGCTGACATCTGTCAGGTCAAGCCTTTTGGAAGATGGGTTGGTTCACTACAGGACATTTCTAGAGACAGAGGAGAACGGATCAGGATTCAGTCAACCATCGAGATAATTCAAGGATTTATAGATTTGTGGTTGTGCTGGAGATTGGCAGTCTCCAAAGTGATTCAGTGTTTTGTTCTGATAATACGGGACAGTGACAGATTGATATGTCATTGCTGTCATTCACAGATGAGAGGTTGTACATATGGCTATGAACTAGGGCTGGGCGATATGGCTTGAAAATAAAATCTCAGATTTTTTCACACCAAACCCGATTTACGATTTTAATCGTTTTTTTTGTAGACTGTTAGACTGTTTTTAGCGGGTGTTTGTGGGCTGCGGTCCTGTATATCTCGCAGAGAGCAACATTTCTGCCACTCGGCTGCATGCCTCTGCTTGAGGTGCTGGAATAAATTGGTCGTACTGCTACTTTTGGTTGCAACAGCTTTCAAACAAACTTTGCAGTGGGTCGTGGTTTGTTCGCTGTTGGACGCCACAAAACTAAACCAGTTCCAAACAACCGACGACACTGTGCCTTTTTTGGGGACGAGCTCATCCTGGCTTGCTGCCGTGTTGTGTTTATCTGTGGAGAGGTGGGGGGAGGGGTCAGCGCACTCTGACCTACAGGAGCCCAAAGGGAGCGCCAGTGTTGTGGAAGTTAAAGAGAAAAACTAAAAATAAATTGTGTTTAACTACAAATTCGAATTAATCGATAAAATCGATTTATCACCCAGCCCTACTATGAACAGAAACATCTTATTTAAAAATCGTGTTCACTTTTATCTTTACAGTGTAATACTGTACAGGGAATTGTTTAATTAAGTGAATACTTGACCAGTAATTCAATTTATGATTTCAATTACGTTTAAATTATGAACACAGTCATTATCAGTTTGAAGTGTCTGTGCAGCCAAGAAATACTAGTATAACTTATTTAAACAAAACCAATATCTGTTCCGTTGGATATTGTTGTGGTGAGCACCCAGATTCAAGCATCCCCCAGACCAGAGGGCCACAGAGGCTGACATTATGTATTAGTGTTTGCGTCAATCTCCATGTGTGAAGGCTCTCTGCCTCAGAGAGAGATGTTGTGTCAAATTGAATCTGTTCTTCACGGCTGGGAAGACTGTTGAGAGGTTAATATTTTCTATTGTTGTCTCAGTGTAGGTGTAAGCTTTGCCAGATGATTTTAATGATTTTCATATTTCCTTTGCTGAAGTGAAACAGACTGTTACAAATTATAGAGAAATAGATAGCTCCTGGCTTGTAACTCGCTCACTAATTTTCTTTTAGCAAGCTTTTAGCAGGGGGAGCAGCTCCGTCACTGTCAAATCAACTCTACACATCACAACCTGCACCACCAACAGAAAAGGAAAGCATTAGTTTAAGACCTGCAGATGTAGACATGACCATGACGCCATCTACACAAAAAGAAAAGCCACTGCAATTATAAAACTTGCACCACCTGCGTGTGTCACAGCTATTTTCTTTTTAATAATTGCTGTTTTCTTTGTTTGTTTTGAGACGTTTTACATTTAACACAACTGCTAGCTCAGCTAAGATGATTAGTAAAACAAAACACTAACCTCCATTGGATATTAAAGGTGCCCCTGGAGTTTTCTAGTTAACAAACAAAAGTCTACATTCAGTGTTTTTCATTAAAACACATGGTGTGTTATGTATCCTTGAGGTCTAATAAATGTATTGAGTGCAACTCTTAAAAAGTAGTTTACATCCATGTTTTCTGGCTAGCAGCCTTCTTCACTGCCTCTTTTGGCACATTCAAGGCCAAAAGAGGCAACAAAGAGGCCATGGCCACATTAATGGCTACTTTTGGTGTAGCCATGAACCTTACTGTCAACAGCAGGCAGCTTAATAAAGTGGGCTCAAACCATCAATAGCGCTGCTTTAAAAATTACAGGTTTCACATTTATTTCAATTCGGGTTAATTTCATGAATGAAAACTATGACTAAATATGTTCACCAACAACCTTTGAGACAAGGATGAGACAGCACCAACGTCATTAAACTCTAACACAATATGCAATATTGTTGACAAAAAAAGATAAGACTAAAATGTAAAAACTTTACCAAAAAAAAAAAAAAAAACAACAGAGAGAAACAAATATATACTTACACCAATGTAAGCAAATACACAAATGCCATGATGTTACATTTCCTGGTACAGAATAGCATACATTTTTTTCCTGACAGATTTAATGGGATTTAACCTGAACTGTTCGCTCTTTTAACTTTGTAGCCACTTTGGTTATGAAACTGGACTCACTGCAATGCAGCAACATGTGTTTACGAAGCTTTACTAACAATGAAAGCAGATGACGGAGCTGGTCTTAAAACACAGATAATACTGCAACCCGAAGATGTGAAAATGTGTTTTAATTGAATTTAATTGTAAAAGGAAATGACAATATATTAAATGCTTGTGTATGTGCACTAAGCCATTAATTTAAAACCTTTTATAATTTCATTCTGACACCAGCCTGAATAGGATAAATGGGTATAAAAATGGATCAATGCAGCTCCCGAGGTCTATGACTCTACCTAATTACCACATAAACAGTCCATCATTTCACCTAACAATGATACACTTGGTAACTCTAGAAAACCAGGAGATTCCTGAAACCCTGTATCTTTTGTTTGTCATCTTTCATGTTTCAGATGAAGGAAACATTTCAAATTGTGCAAACACCACACTGTCTCTTT